CACTTTATTATCGCTTTCTGGCCCATGTGTGATAACATCCATAGACTTTTCTTAGCAAGCTTCTTCAGAGGCTGAGTGTGACTTGCCCAAGGTCACCAAGTGGGTGTTTGTTTGAGCAGGGAATCGAACCCTGATCTCCAGAGTTGTAGTCCAACACTCAAACTACTATGCCATGTACAATCAGACCTCCACATTTGTGGCTTTGACTTTTGTGGATCTGATTATTCATGGATTTGATCAATATGTTCTCTCTAGGAATTTCTAGGTCCTCCAGCTTGACTCTATGATCGACCTCTACTGAATTCCTGGAGATTCCTAGAGTGAATCTCTAGGCATTTGTTGGTCTTCCAGTGCAACTCTATGGTCAACATCTGTCAAATTGCACTGGAGGACTAGAAATTCCTAGAAGTGTTCTCTCTATTAGTGTTTGATTTTTATTTTTTTCCACTTTCACAGACGTTCTGTGCCCCTAATCCAAGCAAATGTGAAGGGAAAGTTTTAGTATGCAGCTTATCTTTATATCTCTTTTACTCTGAGGTAAGTATGTGGAGGACTGATTCAGACTGGACCTACTACTGTTTGAGTAGGAAGAGCTTAAATATGCACTCCCAAAATGTTTATTCTCCACCAAATTGTGTCCAAAAAAGAATGACAAAACTTCCACTACTGCCAATTGGATTAATTTAGGGGGGGGGACTCTGTGAAAGTGGAGAAATAATAGTTGTGGGCGCAATCTTCCCCTGCCCATGTGTGGTAGGCCATTTGAATGGGACCCTTGGGGAATTGTTTCAGAGGTGGTTTTTTTTTTTAAAATTAGCTGTATGCAATGCTAAACTTTGTCCTTTTTAAGAAGAGTAAAACCTTAACATTAGCTTCAGTTTGGCAAAGTTAAATGAACAAAAAAAAAAAAAAAAAAAAAAAAAAAAAAAAAAAAGAGAGAGAGAGAGAGAGAGAGAGAGAGAGGTACCTCCCCTCACCAGAGATGTAGCTCTAGGGGACAAAACTAGGGTATTACCCCCTCCATAAGAATTCTGCCAATCCAATGAAATTTTCCTTTAGTTTCCAAATTTCCAGCATTGCACTAACTTAAAACATTCATTTGCAAGGGATAGAATTCTTGTTGGGAGAGGAAAGCCATTATTTTACACACCTACCCCCAAAGCCACATCATTGTGCTGCTCCGTTATTTTCCAATGTTGGTGTTGAGGCAATGACAAGGTAGGTAGGAAAAGAGTATGTTCTGTACTACAGGCCTTGCAGCATGTAATCAGATCAGGATGATACTGGAAGTTTTAGTCCAAATAGTAACCTTTCTAACTTTTCTGTGTGGATGAAGTGAAACTCCATGAATGTTTGCACGGAGGTGCATTGTGGATCCTAGCCAATGATTATTACATTTGTTCTACATCTGTTTTATCTCTAATAACCTAGTCTTTTCTCAGTAAAGGCATGCAGTACTTCATCAAGAGTTAAACATTGTGCATAGACATCATCCTCTCTATAAGCCAAGGAGAAATGATACATGCTGAAAATACGGAAGGGTGAAGGAACTGAAAATAAAAGCCTGGGAGAGATGAGTGAAAACAGAAGAGAGCAAAAAATGAATTCAGTTCAAGGAAAAATATGAGAGATGTGAATTATAACTTTTTCTTAAACTTGGATATCGATGTTACTAGAATGCTTTAAACATTTTATTATCAAGATGACATACTATTGAGATATTGTAGCCAATTCACTGTTTCTAATCAGGCATTTTATTATTTTTGTCTTAGTTTATACTGTTTTATATACATTACTGGAACTTGGTGGAATCAGTTCTTAGCAGCACATAAAATCTGGAGCCCAGCATTTCATCATGTTTTAGGTAAATCAAAAATATGTATTCAGTACCAAGGAAATGCTTTGTGTGGAATCAGCATGTATGCGAAGAAAATAAAGGGTGAGTAGACTATTGATTAAGAGTCAAGATTAACTGTGTCAAACTGTGGGTAGGGACCTGTTGTGTCCTTGTGATCTCTATGTGAAATTGATTCATGCTTTTTTTTGGGGGGGGGGGAAATAGGTCCACAAATCCATATGCTTCGATTTATTTTGTGATTGCCTGTTATGTCAGGGCATGTGTCAATTTCCATGTTCAAGGAAGTAAACATCCGGCAATAAATATCAGAGGCAAACCACAGACAAAGAAGATTATGCAATGGTAAATAATGGAGAACTAATGGCTAATATCAAAAAGAATATACTTTTGCCATCAGTAGCTGTCAACTGATAAATTAGTTTGAAAATTCAGTCCCTTCCCCTACAACAATAGGCAAACGTTTAGACAAATATCTAAGAGCACTAAACCCTTATTTTTCTGACCTGCATTATTTCTGCCTGTGTTATATTCCCTTATCTTGTTTTAATTTAGGTTTCTAATTTGAACCTTCATGGATTTTTCATGCACACGAAATAAAAGAATTTCAGTCCTATTGCACACATCTTTGAGGTATGCAAGAGAAATTTAGAAAACACCAAAATGCAACTGAGGACCACTAACAAACTATTACACATTTAAGCATTATTTAACAACATGTAATTTTAAAAATCCAAATAAAAGTTCTCAGATTTGCTTTTACACCTTGAAAGATCAGTTTTATAGGGGCTTTGGGTATTGCTGTGTTGTTTTAATTTAAATATTTGTATCTTGGTTTCATCATTCAGCGGGAGTGATCATCCATGCTGAAACAGAGAAATAAATTGAAACTGCAAATAAAAATGCAAGATTTTGTAAATCAAAGTAAACAGCTTGAATTTAACATGTTCAGACTTTAGTATCCTGGTTGCTGAAGAAATAGCTAAGGGTTATGCAGAACCTGGAAAAATTGCCTTTAGGGACTACAGCTCTCAGAATTCCTCAGTTCCAATGGACCCTAGATATGCAGGCTCAGGGATCATGAGAATCCTCATCCAATTCCAAAACATTTTCAAATTGAAGTATAGATTTTGAATTTTGTACTAGTTTGATGACACTACTTATATTCAGATTTGACAGTCATTTTGGTTTGTTATTATTATTTCAGTACCATCTAGCACTCTCTAGAAAAAACTCTTTTTTTCTAGAATTTTCATCCAAAACATAGCATTGTGTATATTATGACATTTAAGTCACAGCAAAGTACTGAAAAGCTCTGAGAATGGTCAGGCGAGACAAGCCTCTTGTAATCTGTACATCTTGCACCACTAGGTAGTTCTGGGATATCTGCAGTTTGTCTCAGACACTAATAATCAAATGCTCTGATTTCTTTTCAGTTCTGCTGCCATTTTACAAGTATTATCGTCACCCAACACAGGAGTTTCTCTCTATGTTTGCAACCTGAGAGTTTGTATAATCCTGAAAAGACATTGATCTAATTAGTCATGTCAAATTTCATATTAGCTGTTTGAGTTTTCCAATTTTTGTGTTGTAATTCCATTGGATGAAAAGAAATAAAAACACATTCTTGAGTATCCCATATTTTAACCTGTTATATATGTGTGTTTTATGTGTTGACAAGCTTTATTTATACTAGGGTTGGAGGGAATTTGTGGCCCTCTAGCTATTGATAGATTATAATTCCATCCTCCCTGATCATTGGGCATTCTGGCTGTGCTGATGGGATTTAGAGTCCAACCATATCGGGTAGACCACACATTCCACTGATCTGAACAGAGGAACCATTCAGGGAGGACAGTTGGGGAAAACAGTGCATGCCAGGGACATATTGCTGTATCTCAGATGTTTGTCTGTCTCTGGCCAGACACACATATTTTCTGCATAGAGGGCAATAATATATCATGATCGTTGCAGTGCCAAAAGTGATTGGAGCTGTTTTCCGATAAGTTGTCTGTCTATCTATCTATCATTATATCCTGCCCTATATAAAAGATCCCAGGGCAACATGCAATAAAATCCAGTTGACCAGTTTTAAACTGTAAAAGATAATTTGTACAGACTACATCACATTATCTAATTCAACTTGTTCAAAACAAGACCAGTTAAAACTAGTAAGAAAAGTTTAGAACATTTAAAAAACATGCATATATATGGATTTATATAAAATCAGTTAGACCCCAAGCCATGTTATTTGGAACTGGAATTATACCAGAGTTGGAACTAAATCAGACTTATATGGGGAGAATATTTCATAACCGGGACATTACAGCAGAGAATGTCATCAGTATTCTCCTACAGTGTATGGCCTGGATTGATCAGACACAGAGGGTGAATCTATTCTACCAACCTCAAACCTCTAGGAAACATATGCTTGCATAGAGTTACACATGTATACATGCATATTACTTTGTATATTAGGCAAACATATATTCATATATTTATGGTTACACATATTTACATGTATACAAACCTTCCAGCATTTCACAGGTGAAAGTTGCCACATAGGTGGGCAAGCACCAACAGAATGTGGTCAAGATACCAAAGGTTATTACTAAAGAAGAATTCCCAAGCTAGAATTGGCTGCAGCAGTTTGCTTTTGTCTGATTCTGCTAGGAAGACCAAGATTCTGTTTCTTGCTCTCCTTGCTCTCCTGCTGAGTTCAATGCAAGCTACTTGTGCACTTAATTTGCAGCAATTGAGGCAAACTGAGGGCAAAGGGGGAGGAGGAGTGAGAAAGTGGAACATTTTAAAAGAGGCTGAAAAAGTGGAATTCAGAGAATTAATTACTGTTTCTATCAGATCAGGACAATGGGGGGTGTATATGAAGTCTATATCTGAGAATAAACCACATTGAGTCCAGTGAGAGTTTCTTCTGAATAGATATGTATGAAATTGCACCATAAAGCTGCAATCCTCTGCATACTTTCATGAGGTTAAAACCCATAGAATGCCAAGGAGAACTGCAGTGGAAATATCTGAAGAGAATGCAAAATTTTTCACATAGAGTCTAGACACCAATAGCATTGGCACTTGTGTAGAGCTGTGACTTCTTTGCCATATTGAACTATTAGTAAATAATTACAGTGTTTGCACTTGAATGACTAGAGTTCTCCACAATTTAGCTGTGAAGATATTTCACAAAATGTAAGCCAATAGATGTTGCCAAATGGTAAACCTCTATATTATGAACTTCTCTACTCCATGCCTTCCAAATCTGAAATGGCATCTGTACACTCCTGTCAATTTGCTGACAAATAATATATGT